AGCAATAACAATAATAATGATGATAAAATCCACAATAATAATGTTAGCAAGACTCATACTAATTACAGTAAAAAAACAGCAATAGTAATAGCAATAGCAATCAAAATATCAATAATCCTTCCTTCCTTCCTTCCTTCCTCTTTCCATCCTTTCCCCCGGCATTTCCTCTTTCCTTTCTTCCTTCATGCATTCGTTCCTTAGGAACCCTACCAAAAAAAACTACAAACAAACATAAACGGCACCGACAAGATGTGCCCTCTGGGGCCTGCTACTTCTACTGCGACGACGACTACGACCACGACTACTACGACTACCGCTCCTGCTACTGCTGCTACGACGACTACAACGCCAATTCTCGTGATTACGATGGAACGCATCACTCAATTCAAAGGCTTGAAGGCGTGCACTCCCCGGAGCTCCGTATGAGCAGCTGGTGACTTCAGACTCAAACGTGCAAGGATGGGCTCCCGCCGCGTTGCCTCTTGCCTTGCCAGGCAGATTGCAGGGTGAAGCCTTCGGGGAGCGCAGTAGCTCATCCGTGTAGTTCACCTGCGGCGTCAGATCAACAGCTGGCTTGGGCCTTCATCTACAAGGTTATCTTCATCCTGATGATTCCCGATGAATCTGTGACTTGGGTCCCGGCATGCATGGGCAGCTGCAGGAAGTTCTCGTCTTGACATTGGGTGCTTCGTAGCTTGCCAACGTTGCCAAGCCCATGAGCCGTCTGACCTCAAAGACAGCGAAACGCAACATTCCACACAATTCTCACAGGGGTCGCTCACAGACCTCTCCCCGCTCACAGGTGCCGCTCTCAGACTTCTCACAAGTACCGCTCACAGAATTCTCACAGTCACAGACCTGTCCCCGCTCACAGGCACCTCTCACAGAATCGCTCACAGGAAAGCTCACACAGGAATCATGGACAAATTTGCACAAGGCACTGCAACTCTTAACGCTAAAACTTGCGCCCTCTCACAATGACTGGACTGCTTCAGCCTAATCCCGCAACAAACGCGCAAGACAGAGAGGGCACCATAGAGCACCGCCGACATACCAGGGATGGTGTGATGTGTCATGCGCAGATGCTGTACAAATTCCTTTTTCGTGTGTGGCGTGGGGCCGCTAATCATCTAGTTACGCGTAACATCACGCGAACTCGATGCATCAAAGATGTCTGAACTCTGGGCGGCACGTACTCTGCTCTCAGGTCCACCACTTAATTTGCCCCCAAGTGTTGCAGGTGGGATGGCAGTTGCGCCAGTTTGCCCGCTCCCCTGCAGCCAAATCAGCGCGGTGATTTGAAAAGTGAGCGTAGTCTTCCCCAAATCAATACCTAAAGGCTGTGAGACATGAGATTTAACCCAGGTAACCCGCCTAGGGCCTACGGAAATGGGGAAATGGGATGCCGATTTTCAGCCAAAGATTGGCGGGGCGGTGCTTCCAACGCTTACAGCGCGCCAATCTCCGACGGTTCACTGTAAGAAGTGTACAGTTGCAGGTCGCATCATCAGCGTTCGATTTGGGCCTTGGGCATGTCCGAGCTGGAAGAAGTACCATACCGCTCGCCCAAATAGCTGTGGCATGCTGGGTCTCAAGTTTTTACATGTTTCTCGCGGCTGGTCTCTTGTTTGGGCGGGTCCAGGAAACTGGCGCGCCAAGAGCATCGTTGGTCCCGTGCTCAACGTTAGGCATCCACTCCTTTTGGGCCTGTCCAGAATAAGAGTTGGGGCGGCATGGGCGGTCTTGCAAAAGATGCAGCGAAGGACTGCCAAGGCACACCGCCTGGCACTGCACTTAACTAAGCCCGATACCGCAACCCCAAAACCTCGCAGCTGCTTCAAGTGTGCGCAGACAACACTAAAAATCCTGTTCCTGTGCTTCTACCAACTTCTGAGTGGTTTGGGGCTACGCAAGAAGATTTGTATCGTCTACAACGTGCGACCTTAAGGTCACGGCACCTGCAGTAAAGGCTCGATTCCCAATATGTGTCTTTGGACGAAAAAACACAAGCCTCACTCGTAGCCCCTGAAGGATGTTTCTGGGATGCTGGCCCGGATTGCCTGGGACTGCCATGAACCGTCATAGCCAAGTAAAGGCGAGCAGAGTAATCAAAATCCACGGTCAATTCACAAGCATCTCTCGACCCACCAACTCACAAAAATTGTTCTTGATTCTTGATGTCTAGCACCATGGGATTGTCAAACACCGTTGATGAGTCATGAGGAACCACGATCTCTCCTCAAAGCAGCGACCAAACACACAGTCAACGATGCTTCCGCCGGGCATCTCCGCATCTCAACAGGAATCGGAACACTTTTTTCGGACCCAAGTGCCTCATGCCGCAGCGTGACGCTGGCTTGTCACACCCACACTCACACTCACACAGTCACATGCTCCTGTACTCACTTCGCACAGTTCATCTTTTGCTCACTCGCTCACTCACTCCCATCCAGCTGATGTTGGATTCATTCACCTCTTGTTTACCATCACTGACTCGCTTCCTCACATACTGTCCTGCACCACTGACCTCATTCACCGAGTCGTTTGCCAACTTGGTGTGGTGATGACAGGGCTGCGAGCAGTAGCAGTACTGCTACCATGCCAGCACTGTGTAGTTGAGCTACCATGCCGGCTTTCTTTCGTTGACTCCCTTGTAAGTACTCATCACGCGTGCGATCTCCAGAGTTGGACAAACAACATAATCGAAGGAAAAAGGAATATCCGTAGCAAGAACGGGAACAGTAAGGAGCAGGCGAAACATCTTTGTCGTGTGTACTGTAGCTTTCAATTCTGAAAAATCAGCATTACGAGTATTGAAATTCTAGATGTCAATAAGCTGAAGACAGGAGCCCCAATCATCATATTTGCAGGAAGGATGCGTAAGCCAAGCTCGTGCCTTTTCAGCGGCAATGGTCCCACCCGCTCACCCCGCTCACGCCCGCGCTCACACGCCCGCTCACACAGGCCCCAGGCCACGAGTCTACGGTGTAAACACTGTGGTTTCAGGCCTGAGCGGTTGTGAGCGGGAGTGAGAGCTGGGATGTGAGCGCGGGGGTGTGAACGGGAGTGTGAGCAGGGGTGTGAGCGGTGGTGTGATCGGAGCGGGAGTGTGGGCGGGGGTGGGAGCGGGAGTGTGGGCGGGGGTGTGAGCGGGAGTGTGAGCGGTGGCGAGCGGCTGCGAGAGGGAGTGTGCAGGTGGTGTGAGCGGCGGTGTGAGCGGGGGCCGGCCGGGCTTGTGAGTGTTGGCGGTGCATGGTGTGAGCGGGAGTTTGAGCGGTGGTCGTGTGAGCGGGAGTGTGAGCGGGGTTGTGAGCGGGAGTGTGAGAAGGGGTGTGAGCGGTGGTGTGCGATGAGCATGCAGGGGTGAGCAGGAGTGTGAGAAGGGTTGTGAGCGGTGGTGTGAGCGGGGTTGGGGCTTAATCGTGAGCGGGGCTGCTAATTGCGGTGAGGGCAAGGCCTGCGAGAAAGTATTTGCTCCTTGCAATATAAGGACAGAACCAAGGCCCATGGCCCATGGATCACGGATCCCAGGTTAGAACACCCCAAACAATTCCCATGTCTTGCATGCAATAATAAAAACCATGACTCATGATTCAAGCAATATCAGTTCATCATCAACACTCACCCAAAACTCACACAGAACTCACACTGACCCCAACCGAAAAATCACAGCTCGGACTCAACTCACACGGCCGCTCACGAGAAACTCACAGCTTTACAAATTCCGTTCAGATCAGCTCACACCAAAGCTCACAGAAAAATCACGCCTACTGCTCACAAGAACTTCACAACCCGGAAATCGCTCTCACCAAACTCACACATAACTCGCTCACTGTCTCTCTCAGCTTCATAGGTTTCAAGACCTGCCATTCATAATTTTAACAAGACAACCTTTCGCTTGCACTTCACTCGACGTGATTCGCACGGGAGCGCGCCGTACTCATGACTTTACTTTCGCCTGAAACTGCACTCCAGGAATCAAGCATGGTTGAAGGCTGCCTGGAGGTGTAAGGCTTGCGCATGGTTCGGATGTTGGATTTGCCATGTTCTCTCTCATCTCAATGTGTACTGCTTTACAGTTCATGATCTGGTACCCCAACAACCAAAATTGTTGAACTAGCTCTCGAAAACTCGCATGTGCGTAAACAACCCAGCCGGAAGGGTCCTGCCTCAGTGGTTGTTTTCAGGCAGGCCGATGTGTGTCCGGGCTCGATGGGTTGGAACACAACCTCAGGTAAGCATCGCGTTGAGCAAACTTGAACAGTACTCAATCAAAGAAAAACACTGAAATCGAACCCAGCAACTTCGATGTCAATAGACTGGCCCTGATATTTGATCTCCTGCCACGGTGAGCGCGCAGTAGCAATTCCCGCTGAAGGCTTCAGGGACCTGGATGCGAAAGACTTCCCCATCTGGGGAGTTGTGCACGATGTACGGGTGTTCTCCGGACCTGGGGCAATCAAGTGGCGACAGGTCTTTGCCACATACAATAAGACAAAGATCTTCTTAATTACAGCTGATCGCGCGGAGCTGAAGCACCGCCATCGTACAAGACAGACGCAGTCTCAGCCGGGTAGCATGTTCAACCGCAAACTGACAGAAGAGTTCCACCTGCGTCGAACTCAGCGTCAGAATACTGAATGATTAACCGCAAGACGGCAACGTCTCATTGCAGTGCACCTCGATTCAAAAACTACGGGGGCATCGCTGCTTGGGACGCTCATTGTTAAGTCGGTACCAAAGCAATTTTGCGTTCAAGTGTGAGATGCTTGATTGGTTTTGGTCAAAGTCCGGCACACATCTGCTCGACGATGTCACATTCCGTTTCTCTGGCTTCATCCAGGTGATCATGTTGTAGATCATTGTTGCTTGAGCACTGGTTGGAGTTTAGGCGACGAAAGCAATTGCAAGTGCGGCTGCTGTCACAAACTGCTTTCCAATGCTCCGCATTCGCTGGTCCATTTGCCGTGACTCCCAAACCTAACATTTTGCTTCAGCCCTCAGCGCTCGCATAGAAACAGCAAGTCTTCCACTAACCGGATCTTCTCAGCGCGTTCGTCAGAAATGTCTGGATGCACGTCAAGGAGCCGCATATGCAATTTGCCAAGGTCGAAAAGGGCGTGCAAGCAAACTCTGGGTGTGGCTCGGGGAGCTGTAAGAAGGATCTCCAGCACAGACTTCAAATCGCGCTGAGTGGCCACGTCGTCTGCCGTGCAGAACCACACTAGAAGCAAAGTAACGAGCTGGTAGTGCTCTTCTTCATTGAGCGACCGGAAGACGTAGCGAATGTGTCTGAGTGCCCAACAGGGCGTTTCGGTGGGGAACTTCTGCAGCTCAGGCAGCAGTGCAGCAAGAACCCCTTCACAAATCCAGCGTTGTAGGCTGTGCGAGGACTCGAGGTAGGAGAGCCAAAGAACATGGCAAGCGGCCGCTCGTGTGAGAGAGTTTTCGCTACGGCTGTGGCCGAGCAAGGTGCTCACAATATTCTTGACGTCCGTCTCATCAAGGTGCCGGGTGCCTTTTCCATCCATTTGGCACCTGCACCAGGACTGACCTTGCAACAGATGGGCGTGGCACGTGGCAGGCCGGTGAAGCAGTCTGCCAATCAATTAGCTCTACGGTTACCAAAGTTTGACTAGCTTGGCAAGGAGCATTCCAAGACTTTCTTGTCGCTTTCGCTCATGCAGGGCTGAACGTCGAGGCAAGTCGGCCAACCATTTGTAGGCCTGTCACATGAATCTGTTAGTCATGTACCGCAAAGGAAGGAGTGATGATAATCATAAGTGGGTTCGCAAAGGTCCAACACAACAGTCACGGGAGCATTGTCATGAATTCCAACCCCTCCGTTGAAATCCATGAAAAAGTCACCGACTGCTTACATGCAGTCTGAAATTGCTCCGAGGCATGCAGTGAAGTGACTTGCCTGCCGCAGTGCGTGACAAGAGCACGTTCCATCACAGCCTCGCCGGTTGAGGCTTTGGGGTTTGGGAAGCAGGAGGGGATGCAAGACAGATAGTTGCTTGTTGAAAGCTGTGCAATTAGACTAATTAGGGTTTCGGGCTGTGTTGCAGACTTGCTACACAGAAAACCATGCGGCCAAATCATCCAAGCTTCTACACAACTATCGCCCTACGAGTGCTACTCTGTCAGCACCAGGCCTTCAAGCCTGTCAGCCGTTGATATCTGGCTACCAGAGCACAAGGCCTGCCAGGGAGAATTGACTCTTGGCACTACATGTACATTGACGTCTTAGCCAGGTCCTCTCATAGGCAGTCTCGACGAAATGCTTCGCCACAGCCTGTGCAAGGTCACAAAGTTCAAGCTTCAAGCTCGTCACAAAGGTAGTCATAGAATGACATAGAAATAGAAATCATTATGACACAACCGCGGTCATTAAAGTCACTAAAAAGTACTGGTCTCAACCACCTGTCTAAGGAATACGTGGAGATCCCGAATAAGTAGCGCTTAAGCAGGCATTCTTTTTTAGCGAGGATTCAACAACCGTTTGGCAGTCCAACGAAGTCCTTTTAGACGAAACCTTCCTGCCAATGCTCCGACATCACGCACGCACACACACACACACACACAAAAAAAAAAAAAAAAACGAACCACACTGGCCGACACAAGCCGCCGCTCTTCATGCGAACATGCGAAACAAAGCTTAGACATGCCACAAGCGCCTGAGGCCAGGAGCCTCGGTGGATTGGCCGGCCCAACATATTGGGTTTGGGGGACAGCTTTTGCATCAGCAGGGCGCTAAAGCTTATAGTGTTTGCAGTTACTGTACTGCACTAGGTTCGTCGACTTCCTTCTTGCGTGCATACTGCCCGCGACCACCCTGGGACCTAGGACCTCCAGGGGCCTCCCAGAACCGCCCTTATAGCATGCACTCACATACCGTTAGCAGCCGCAGGAAGCCCGATGCACACTTCCCGTGAGTCCCGTGGCTTAGCCCGGCCCGTCTGCCGAGGCGGCATGCTTGCTTACAACTGCAATGATTGCGGATTCGTGTTGAGAATTTTCCTGAAGCATACATGCAATAAAGAAATGTGTAGGACTCATCTACATGCCAGGCCCAACATGCATCCCGTGCGTGTATCCCAGAAGACAGACAACATTCAGACACTCGTCCCAACGGCAATACGGGGAGATAGTGCCTACAGTACAAGCGCGCATGCAAGAGCGCCTTCATATACAGCACAACAAGCTGTATACTCTCTCACTTCAGGCTTTCAGGCTTTGGTGGGTAACATACCTCTTGTAAGAGGTGCTATACAATCTTACCATCACATATAGTCAAGCAAGTGGTTGAATTTGGTATTGTGTGCCATAAACTCAATAGCACCTGCAACTACCCGTCCATATGCATATGTAACTCTATACAGCTATCTTCGGCTATCTATCGTGGCCAACCATCGCCCATGATGACCGATTGCTACCCCTAGTGATCGGCGATTAGGTAGTATCAATATATATATATATATATATGCGTGTGTATATATTGGCTGTTATTCTCTACTGCCAACTGTTAACATCGAGTCGTGTCTGTTAGCTAGTTGTGGATGCTGCTGGGCTATGACTTTACATCTTGTTGGCAACATATCCACTGGCGTTGATACCTGGACTATGTAAAAGCATTAGTGCCCGCCTTGCAGATACTTTGGGCTGAAGATGTCTGCAACAGCATCACCAAATCTCGCACCTGCAAGGAGCTATGCAGGTTCCGGCTGCATGTACGGCTATGGGATGCCAGAGCTGATGTCAAGCTGTTGCAGCTCAGTGTCTCCGAGGCACTCATACAGCAGCGGCCTCAGCGGATCAATCTTTGCTACAATTTCATGCGTTTCTGGACTGAAAGCCTGGCTTTGGCTAAAAGAATGTCGTTCGTAAGGTGTACTACTGGTGTGGGTCTAAAGAAGTCACCGAAGGCTTCCCTGACTTGGAACCTTCTGTGATCTATGCGATCAAGCCAATCCGAGAAGCATTGGCAAAGTCATCAGGACAGGAAGCTCGGGATGAATAGCCTGTCTGGAAGTACATTTCTACTCTTCTGACCACTTCAGATTGTAACTGCTACGACATGAGTACAGTTTCGCCAAGATAGTGTTCATGCACCGCACCTCTGTGCTGCCCACAAGTGAAGACAGCCAGGTTGCCAGCAAGTCCCATGCGGAAGTTGACGAAGCTTCAGCCCTTCCGCTTTCGCAAGGGGCAACTTATGCTAGCACAACCACAATGAACCCCAACAGCGCAGGTGAGGCGCGCCGCGAATGAAACAGTTCCCGGTTATCCCCTACATTCCCCATATACCGTCGACAGTCAGGCAAACAGTTAGCGTGAGTGATCGCAACCTGCGTGGTCAGAATATAGAAGCCAAGGAAGCGACAACGTGGCAGAGCCGGACCAACTATTGCAAACAACATCTATCCAAGCTTAACCGTCAGAACGTCAGCGCAGAAAGCAATGAACAAGTTGTTGCCACTTAAGCCGACAATGGCTACATCCTGCAACGGCGGTTGCTCCGGAAAAGGCTGCCACCAAGCATCTTACATGCATGCTCGTACCTACAGTATAATTAGCCCCCGAAAGGGGTGGGAAACACGCGTCGAACCATGGTAGGTCAATGTAACGTGGCACCCCGACGGGGGGTGAAGCAATGACTTGTACCGCCAGATCAGGTCCTAAACCAAGCCATGCCGCTACGCCGTGCCTAATCGAAGAGAAGGTATATAGGGCAACACAGGGTTGAATAGGGCGCCAAATGTTGCGAAATGCCGTAGTGTAGTGTTGTGTATTTTGCGACCAATGGACTCCGAAAACTCGAAGATGTTGGAGAATCCGTCGAAACGGTAGGGAGCGTCTCATTTCAGCACTGACTGCAAGTGTTAAACCCCAACAACCCCTCACAGGCAGCAGGCACGCAACAAAAAAAAAGCAAAGCTCGATTGACTCTTGATGCAGACTTTGGTAGTGGAGGGAGTAGGGGGGGAGGGGGGAGGGCAAGTGGGACTTGAGGGGCAAGGCAGGGCAGCCAAGTGGGGCAAGTGGGGCAGGCAGGTTTAATGTTCCCCCCCCCCTCCGGTCAAAATGCGCTTGTTGCAGGCAAAGTGTCGCTGCTGGCTCAGCGAGCCTCTGAGCAACAGGAAGCTCCAGCAATTGGGGAGTGAGCTGCGGATTCTCCACGGAGTCCATGGAGTCGCCTATGACGGCATTCGACCTGAACCCGCAGGCTAAACACATTTAGTAATGAATTTATCGTGTTCTACTACATATCATAGAACACAAACTATATACCATACAAATACCTGATGTATAATACTAAGCCAATTGTGTCGTGCTCACTGTCTGGCAAAAAGATGCAACAAGTACACAATTAGTTCCAATTGGGGCAAGCATCAACTCAGATTCTGATTGAACTTCTGCATGCACCATCAAGGGCTGAGAGCTCCAGTCGAGCACAAGCTCGCGCCCTCGAGCAGTGGCAAGGTGCACCATATCAGAATCAGGATCCGCGCCGCCAGAGGTGTCCGGCGGGCTTTCTGGAGACTGGGAGTCCTGGACAACGACATGGGCATCGCGCTTGCCCTCCCCAGCTTTTTGCAGCCTGTGTCCTGTAAAGCTGGGCCGCCACTTTCCGGGCTACGCGTGGACCGAGGTGAGTCCCTGAGCTTGCGGGGCTGCGGAACAAGCGCGAAAAAGCTTAGTCATCACGAGATTCCAACTCCAAGTCCAACCCAAGCGACGTGTCGCAAGACCCCAGGTCCGCGTCAAGCGAAAACTCCGACCTGTTAGGTCAAAAAATGCAGCTTCCGTCGCATGGGCTTTTGCATGTGGCGAGCACTGAACGGAAGCTGCCTGTGATGCGAAAGTATGAACATCCAGGGCTCATCGCAGAGGCTCGCCGCCTCGGAGGAATAAGAATAGGTTGAATATGCAGAGGACAAAGAGACCACAGTAAATGACTCTCTGGCAGCCGGTCCTCTGCCAGGTTGCACACGTCGTCATCGAGAGGCCTGGCTGCAACCAGCCCGGACTAGACCGCAACCGTTCCCAATCCTCAACTGCCAGTCGCTGGCCTCCAAGAACTACGTGACACGAAATGCCAACAAACAAAATGAACTCCAGACGTCTGTCATCAAAATGCTGTCCTCATGGGGGCGGGGTGTGTCAGGACTAAGACTTCTTCCCTTGTGCCCTTTCGCAAGGCATCTGCCGGAAGCTCCCCACGCTGTCCCGGGCGCCTCTGCTCAGCTTCCGGATGGTAGAGCACGGGCCTGTCTTCGGCCCTGGCGCCGTCAAAAGGGAGGCAGGTGTGGACAAACCTCGATGTTTCAGGGAGATGCTGATCAACGCATCCTGCTGAGAACTTAACCAAATCTATCTTGAACACCGCTAGATGACAACAACAATACTGAAACCATCCTGCCATTCTCCTCATCGTTACCAGTGTCGCCACTACCATGTTCCAGAGTCAAAATGAGGAGTAAACATAATGAACGCTTACGGGAGAGACCATGATGAAAGCACTACGTTACCGACGTCAGTGTAATAATTTGAGCTATCATGCTATAAGGATCGCCATTGCAACAACCATGAAACAGCATGATGAGAGTGCGGAGCGGTGTGAGTAGTCGAAACATGCAATAGCATGAGAAGAAGTCTCACAATGCGAAGGGTGAACATCTTGCCCGGGGCAAAGCTTGTCTTGCCTTGCCACTGCATCGGCTTCCAGCGAGTATTTCGCCGGAACCTGCGGCATTGCAAGCATAGAAATCACAAGAGAATGGCAATCACATGTTCAGAATAAGAAAAGTAGCAATACACAACGGTAACAACACGAATGGCAATCGCGACGTACAACATGATGTTTGTTTAAAAAAATACCTGCTGGCTCGTCGCCACTTTGCATCGTCTGCACATGAAGAATCAAGCTTGCTGAAGCTGAGCCCCACCTTTCCCTTTATGCGCAACGTCAGACCGAGTAGTGCTCTGACCTTGCCACATTCTAAGGCCGGTGCACTGAAGCAACCAGAGAAGCAGCCTGAGAGCATGGTCCACATCGTAGTCACCCCATGTCAATGCCATGTGCTATTTCGCCGATACGGCCACTTGAGTCGCCAGACAATCACTGGCAACAGGCCCGGTGATATCCGCATGATCATCCATTTTTGCTATTGTGCGTCACACTCCTATCGTGATGTACATGTCAGTGTATCATGACTGCACATGTCATTCTCATGAGGTCCCCTTGTTATAGCCGATTGCCATCTGCTACTACTACAACTCAGTCCGTCACCATTTAGAACAGAAAGACTCATGCTTGCAGCCTCCACGCATGGCGCCCGCCAGTGCAGATGCAGCCATGTGAGCTACTGTGTCTCTCATGACAGTGAGACCGCAGAAGCGTACAGTTCACGTGCTGCAAAGTAGCCATCGAGCTCATACTTTCGACTCATTCCCTTTATCAAGCAAGCCACATAACTGCCTTTTGGCTACGTGAACATTGTAAGCGCACGATGCTATGGCTCAATGGTCGCTGGACGCTGTTCGAGCCACAAACCAAGCCAGGCGAAGAGATTCACGCTGCACACGTACTCCGCACATAGTGGTCCTGCAGCATGGATTGCCAAACCTCAGTTTCGATCAGCGTTCAATTTTATGTCGTCAACCCCTGCAGAAGGACTCCGGGAAGACACGAATCAAGTGTGATGCTCTAAATTACTTGCTCGTGCCCGCCAAGTTTAAACCACCCTCTTTTTGTGCGAAAAGACCGTGTCAAAAAAAAGTCTAAGTGACATGTCAGACAGCAAGAAATAACTGGAGACCACTTTTAGCCAAAAATATTTCGCAGAATTTGCGCAACATTTAGGCCAGTTCTGGGCGTTCCTTGACCTTGCTTCCTGTTGTGGGGGGAATAAGAGCAAGCAAGCTTTACCAGGTCTTGCATCAACCTCATGGGCAGTCGGAGCATCTGTTCGTAGACTCTCTCTGACTGTACACTGCCAACGAATCAAAAGTAGTGCAGCGGGTGCGGAGTGCCCGCAGCTCCCGGGAGTTTCCTGGATGCAGAACGCCACGAGGGTCGCTTGCACAAGAAGAATCATCGGCGCAGCTCTGTTCAAATGACTGTGAAGCACACGGCCCGGCGGCTAGCTGCGCGAGGCCATGTGTGCTTGGCTCTCAGCTAATCCATTTCCTTCAGGTTGGGGCCTTCCTGTACAGGAACCCCCGTCACCACCGGAGCGGGCGAAGCCGGCACACCGTTCCCGGACACTGGCACACCCGGTACGCTGTTCTGAGTGTGAGAGGCCGCGGCTGCGGCAGCGGCGTTGGCCGCGAGGCCTCACTACAGTGGCCAAAGACTGGGCAAAGTATAAGGCATGAACGAAGACCACACACACACACACTGACTGACTGGACATGCTGTTTGAGACTGGGCCTTGCAGCAGTGCCTGCCGTGGATCTGGCTGTGGGTAGCTGCCTCCGCTGCCGTGCGCCTGCATGCCATGCTGCCTTATCATGGAAAGTCCTGATGCTGAAGAGTCTTGAGACTTTGACACTCGTCTCATCCGTAGTCATATCGCAAAAGGCACTCTCGTTTGGATCGGATCGTCGGATCCGGTCTCCGACCTTGAAGGCTTCATCCAGGAGGTCGGAGACCGTCGTGGATGGGGCCGCAGGCACTTCTCGCAAGATCCTGGCCACCTCACAGGGATGCCGGAATAGAGCGGGAAAAGGGTGACTGTGAAAGAAGCACGCTGAAACCGCTGACCTCGGGAGCACATAGAGCCGGGAAGAGGAGAGAAGAGCTTAATCAGAGACGTCTTGTTCTGCTGGCCTCCTCTTGGCTCAGCAACTGGGCAGGTGGCGCCCTGCAAGCACGTGAAGCAATCTGGGTAGTACAGTATGGACTCAGTGACTCAGTCGTTTCCGAAAGCAAAAATGTCCTGGGGTTCACGACCACGTTGACTCTGCCCATCATTGCAGTGCCCACGACCCGAAGCGTGATGGGCGCTCGACCCGCCATGCCGGAACTCTGGCTGCTGGACCAAATGCCTGCCGCAGGCACGTTACAGCCCAACTTCAACTTCACGTCGTGTGCACAGCACCGCGCAAACTTCGACTCTTCGGCCTCCGGCATCCCCGAAGCCTCCCAACAAAGACGGGGCGGGGGGCAAGAAAACCGTTGATAAAAGAGAGATTCGTGGTCAGTGCGCGTGGGGAGACGGCCAGCGATGGCCAGGCCTCCGAAGATGGCGGAGCCGTCCTGCTCCACTGCCACGCCCGGAGGGACGATGAGGGTCACGCTGCCCATGAAGGCGGTGCTGGAGATCGTGATCACCTCCAGAATCACTGGAAACCATAAATGAAAGGAACCCCCACCACAATATTGGCAATTATTTAATAATTTAGACCTCTATATTAACCCTCGGAACCCTATCTCTCTGTCTCTCTATCTCTCTACCTGGACTCTACCTATAAGCCAAGCGGCCGGGTGCTGGAAGAGGGCTTGAGAAAAGTCGACAGTGGAGCCGCCCAAGTAGGCGCTTGCGGTGATTTCGCTGTCGGGCACCCAGCGGCCGTACTTGTCTGCGCCAGACAGGAAGCCAACGAAGCTCGCCATGGCAACAGCTCTCTGCAAACTGGGTTTTCCGCCACAGAAAGCAAAGATAGATACCAACCGAGGTTCGAACACTTTCCTCGGTATAAGGTCTTTGCTGCACAGCTTCCTGCTTCTTGTGCACGCACAGTTTCTGGGAAAATGCAGCGTTGCCCGCAACACTTCCTTGGAGCCGAGCCATTGTCAAGGGAGAACCGAGATCCCAGGAGGGGCTAACTCCGGAAAAGGGGTGCGCGGGCGGGCGCGCCAGCTCCGCTTGGGCGTCCTCCCCGTCCTTCTCGAAGCTCTGAGCCCGGACCCGCCCGGGCTCCGGCCAAGCATCGGCCGCTGGAGGCTCCCGGAGCTGGGAAGCATGAGAGGGCGACTTGGCCTCGGGAAGCTCGGACCTGCCACACAAAAAAAGGTGGAGCCACATAGTGACGTAGTGAGAGAGATGCACGAGTACTGTACGCCTCAGCCTATTTCTCCAGCCAAGAGCTTCCCGCCGCGCGGCTCTCTCTTTCTTGAACTTTCTTGGCTTCACCCCTCTTCCTCTGGTCTTCTGTGCGTCTGGCCAGAGGGCTCCACTTGTGGAAGCGACCATTTCTCTGGCATGGGTCGTCTTGTGCACACAAAGTTGGGGCGCCATTCCCAGGTGCAAAGAGGACCCATGTCCGAGGGGGGATGAGCTCGGCTGGTGCCGGGCCCTCTCAGCCCACGAGCTGAAGAACCTGTGTCCAGGCGGCGTCTGCACAGAACCCACACGCCGACACACCGAAGCGCGCGCCTTGGCGTCCAGTGTGGCATCTTGGCAGGCCCGAAGGAGCTCCTCTTCCCGGAACCTCGCATCTAAAGGAAGGAGGTACCGTTGTGGAAGTATATATGCCAAAAAGCAGATCTTCTGAGGCTCTGGCGTTTGCTTCCAGTGCTTGAGCACCTGCATACGGCGGGAAGCGCTCCGGCTCTGCTTGCGGCCCGACAGCCCGGCGGCCCAGGTGCGCTCGCACCTGAGAGGCCTCCTGCTTCAAGGCCCGGTGCGCTCCCTGCAAACTGGAACAAGCACCGTGCACCGCACTATACTGGTCGTGATGGCAATAAGTCATGACGGCAAAAACAATACGGTGTCTATAACATGCCTGCATCCATGCATGGATGCGTGGATGGATGGATGGATGGATGGATGGATGGATGGATGGATGGATGGAAGTTAACGCCTTCTGGGACTCTTAGCCCTTTGCTCCCGACCTGGCCGGCGCAGGTCGCCAGGGTCTTCAGGAACTCCGGCAGGTAGGGCACCAGCCGGGGCCCCAAGGCCTCGTCAAAGTACCCTGTCATCCGCTCAAAAAATGTCAGAACGTGGTAGAACCGCGCGAAAAAGGCTACCCCGCTAAGATGTTGTTGCTCGACGTGGTTTCTCTATAGGTCCCTAGGTTGCAGGGACTCCTTGCTGTGGGGCCCGGCCTTGCTGATCTCCGGCAGCCGCTCGCAAACCCGCTGCTTCAGCAGGTGGTGGTGGCCTCCAGGGAGCTGAGAACAAAGGAAGACGAAGACCGCCCTTTGCTCCCGTTGGGAATCGATCTATTTTTCAGCGTCCGGCGGTACTGGGAGCAGGCAAAGGCCTCGACGACAAAACATGGAGCCGAAGGCCACAACAATGCATGAAGCTTCAGCTCCCCGCCGTGCCTTGGCAAGGCTGGGGAGGAGAGCTGCCAATTGCTCCAGCTTCTTCTCAGAGCCCGTGGAGCTCGCAAAGCTGGCCTTGGGAGACTCTAGGCTTTCTGTGGCCAGCCACCGTGCCGAAGCAAAACTCGGCCCTAGACGAGGTCGGTGAGGAGGTGCACCATGCCCTCGGATGCCTGCACGGGTTGACTCTTCGTGCGTCAAACTCCCAACTGCAAAATGAAACGCACTCCCCTTCCCCAACAGTGAAAACAAGGATCCTGGTCCTAGCCCTGAACTTCCTCTCTGCACGTCGCCTCCCAGAGTTGCGTAGGTGCCGTTGCCGCGCAGTTCATGCAACCGGTGTCCTTCGGCCGCGCCCTGGAAGCGAGACTTTCTGCACAATTGTAGTGAGGTGACAGTCTGACACTGTGCTTCCGACAGTTGCGTGACATTGACGACAGCTTTCCTGCGCCCTTTTTTCCCCGAGGGGTCTCCGCTTCGTGCACCTCTTGGCTGTTCCCCTCTCGTACTGCAAGTTTGTGCAGCTACGGAGCATGGAAAAACAGCGACCAAGCAGGTACTCGAGATCCCGACTCCCTATATATGGGCTACAGTCCGATTGCGTCCTCCCTCGCATGCTACAGCTCGCTACGGCGCTCGCGCTAAGCACCTCTCAGAGATCCGTCTTCTCCTCTTGGCCCGCACAGGTCCATCTGCAAGTGCCGGCACCGACCCAAGTCCGACCGCCAGCGGTGATGCACAAACCTTCCTGACACGAGAAATACAGTACTCTCAAGTTAGTAGCACATCCAACAAGAAGGTGCATCGATGTCTTCATTGGTCACTGTCGACAGAAGTGAACAAGATGCAAAGAACGCTTTCCTTGGGGAGACGCGACACTGCTTCTCAAAAACCAAGGGACCGCTGCAAACAGGAGGCGTAATATGTGCAAGATTAAGGAATACCCGATGTAAACCGAAGCAGAGAAATAGAGCTGACGGATTCGGAGGCTGCAGCTCCCACCGCCAAGGCTCGGTGGTCTGTTCCGTGCAGAATACACGCTGCCTGCGGTGCTTGCTGGCCCCGTCTTTACAATCGTTTCCCTCCCGGCGTGCGCAGTCGCAGCAACCACCAGCAACGGAGGGCCTGCATGAAGCAAGCGAGAGTCACAGAGTGAGAGACCCAAGAAGCTTGAAACCCGGCTTTTGGCATCTGGGCATCACGCCAGATCAGCGGCAGGACGGCAAGAGTCAGTTGCAAGAGGGCCCGGAACCGCATGGCGTCTCCAGCTACAGGTCACCAAAAGGGCCTGATGCTACTTCCGGCTCGAAGCTCAAACAGCTCTGGACATGAGTAGCATGGACTGAAAGTCACTGATGACGCAATGGAGCACCGGGGCACGAGAACCCGCCGCACAAGACGTCTCTCTCTCGAGGCCTCCGTTCTTTGAAGGTCTTCGGCGCCGAGGACCCGCAGCTGTACATCACTTGGTCGATGAACTCCTCGGATAGGGCTCATACTCTCAACTATCGCCCTGCACCCTTATCGTTTCCCCAGTGGCCCAAGCAAGGCACCCCATGGCCCCGTGAACACACGAAGTCTTCAGATTCGGTTTCCAGAGCTCTCTGAGGCCGCGGCCGGGTCGGCTTTCCCTCGCTCCTCCAAACTCAGCGTCTTCGACTTGGGAACCGAGAATGGGCCGCTAGGCGTGTAGTCCTGAAGGTCAAGCCGGCACGCTTGGAGAAGGCGGCTCTTTTGGGGATTTATATAGATTTACAACATAGGGTTAACATTTCCTGTGTTTGGTAACACCTCTTCCAACTCTATATATATATATATATATATATGTATATATATATATATATATGCAGAGAGGATTTGGTCGCCGTCGGTTCCGCAGCTCCCGCCGTGGTGCAGCGGATCTTCTCAACTCAAGTGAAGGTGTTATTCTTTCCGCAGTCCTGCTCTGGCCCAGTGGTCTGGGACGCCGACGTCGTTGTAGAATTCAATGAACACTGTTGTATACGTTCCGTTCCCAACCGCTCCTCCATTATGCAGTGTGTATGTTGAGTGCTCCTTTTTGGCGGAAATGGTGCTTCGGCGACTGTGCTCATTTTTGCATCCCAAATCGCTCGTAGTTCCCACCCAGGGCCATGCTCTTCCCTTCCTCGAGCTTGTGGTCTCAAAAGAAGAGCCGTCGTAGGTAGAGACATGCTGCCGCCATGGTCCAGTGCATGTGCCACTCGGGCCACTCCAAGCGCAACAGGACCGTGGCTTCACCGCCTGCAACAAGACCGTGGCTCTTTTCACTGCGACTCTGCCACAGTTCCGCGCAGATTTTTGAGTGGGGCTCCTGTTCCCGCCATCTGTGCCATTCGTGCTCCGCCGTTTTGGATTCAATGGCCGTGGGATGCTCTCACATAGACCACTGATGTAGATCCGAGTGAGGAATCCTAGAATGAGTGTGAAGGCCTTCCTCCCACCCATCCCGTCCGTGAAGGTCTCAGAATGCTCTGGCTGCATCAGCACCTTCGACTCGGCTCTAATCGAAGAAACACAGACTCCAGGCGAACTGCGCCTCCGGCAAGGTTTTTTCCAAGCGCGGGAGGATTTTGGGCCAAAGGTCTTCTGGCCAAACCTCGGTTGATCGCAATAGACTTTTTCCCCCCCTCCACTACTGAGTAGTTCTATATAGTACCAGCTTCGGTCAGACCATTCCAAACTCTGAGGCCTCCAACACCCACTGCCGTGGCCAAAGCATTGGCGCTGTTTCGCCGCATCCTTGCGACGTTTCGGCTCAGGACGCCGGCTTAAGCAGATGGACTGCGCCCGGCTCCCCGGTTCTCGGGCCGGAGCGATGGTATGTTGTCGGCCATCTGGCTGAACCAAAGCTCGAGCCTAGCAACGTCGCAAGCGGCCTCTGCGGCCTGTTTGTCTGTTCTGTGCCGCGATTCTCGGCAAGTTCCCGACCAGAGGGGCTCGGCTGTATGATGAAACGGGAACTGAGCTGGGTGTCCCTGTTTGGAGGGTCTGCGTGCTAGCAAAGAGTTGTGTCACCAACCTTCGTGCCAGAAGGGGCTGTAATGAACAGCCCTGCAGGCCTCTGTCTCTCTGTCTGTCCACTTCTATGACTGTAGTGATATAGTTCACATGACAACGTGCGAGCCAGCTCGGGGTCCCGCAGCTGTGGCAGGAGCTCCTTGCACTCGTCCGGGAAGGCCGTAGCCTCCGGAAGCGGGCCCAAACGGCAGCATCACATCACTACCGGCTCAGGGTGCCCCGCGAAGAATCCCAGCGCAGTGCTGGCCACGTCCCGCACCTGAGGCTGAAGGGCTGCCAAGTCGGTTTCGACCCTTTCCGGCTCTTGGAGCGAGGCTGGCCAAGACTCGTCGGCGGAGGAGTCCAGCAAAGCCTTCAGCAGCCGCTGCCTAAGCTCCGCAGCTGCGTGCAGCTGCTCTCCGGCTCAGCTGTGGCTCCGCACTGCGGCGCAGCCTGCAAAGCTCGGGGTGCCACACACGGGGTGGCGTGAAGTGCTCGCGGTAAGGCGTCGGGTTAGAGGGTGCACCTCGGACGAGAAACAGGGACGGCTCCGGTGCCGTGCACTGCACATGGCCGCACCTGCAACGCGAGCCGCGAGTTCGGAGATGCAGTTGCAGGCAGCCTCGAGTCCGGCCAAAAGCAAGTGCTGTACTGCCGTACTGCTTTTTCAGAGCTCCCGCCTCTCGCACTGCGTGGTTCGGCGCCGTTGCAGCGTCGACGTAAGCATCGATCACACCTCAGACGCAACGGAACGGATAACGATTGCAGTCTGCTCCGATCGACTTCCTCACTGAGTTGCGAGACGCAGGCTCTCAGACTATTTGGCTCCGAGAGTGAGGCGGGGTTTGCCAAGAACTTAATTTGATCAGGTTACATCAGGAAAGATTGCCTGCTCTCAACTAGATCGGCTTGCATGGTACAAAAACTTCGGTTCCGGCTGCAGTGACAGTTCAGACCGACATCCCAGCCCCCCCCTCCCAACAAGAAGATCTACAGTTGCTGGAAGCCTGCCCAGTAAACATGCTCTGCAGACCTTTCAGCCGATCTGTATAGAGGAGAAATGAGGCCAACCTGTCTTGCATTTCACTAGACAGCCGCCGACCATCGCGCGGGTCTTTTGCGAGCTTCCGATTCTTCGAGTCTTTTCTGTTCGCCACCCGTTCTCCGGCAATCCCAGTGCTCGGCTCTCGCCACTCTCGGCTCTCGTCCGTGGCTCTGGCTGTCGAAATGCGCCACGAGCAGCCTGTGCGCGCTGCGCAGCACGGTGGAGCAACCTTCACCTCAAGCTGTGTGCATCTGCCTGGCACCACCTTGCGGCCCGCAGACTTGCTTCCAGGTGTCCTGTGCACATTCGCAACACAGATTCTGTGCAATTGTTTCGGCTCCAACACCACTGGAGATCCGCTTTGCGGCCCGGTCCTGGGAGAAGTTGCGGACGCCTTCGGCCACGTAGTGCCGGTTGAGGCCTCGCTTGAAGCGCCACGGCCACGACAGCGGCTCCACGCTCGTAAGGGCAGCACACATGAGCCCCAAGAGCTGTGGATAGAAGGCCTCCCTTCGATCGCCAGCCTCCAGCTCTGAGAATTGCCCCCGCCCCCGGCTCTGGCACGGAACTCAGTGCCTTCTCGTTGAAGGCGCGGGCGGCCACCGAGGCGGCGTAGCGCACCTGCGCTCAACTACAACGGTCTCTCTCTCTCTCCCTCTCCCTCTCCCTCTTTGTTTATCTCTGTTGCTCCGTCTGGTCTCTGCATTGCACCTGGCTCCAATTGTCCTTGATGCCTGCAGCGACGATGTGAACCTTCGGCAGCGGGTCCGTCGCGGGGTGTTCTCAGGCCCCCCCTGAGTTTATTCCCCCGCCGTCTTGGGTGCCACAGAGGCCATGAAGGCCTCCTGGGAACAAACCTGGAGCGTTGATGCAAGACTGTGAATGAAAAGCGGGGCAGAAGAAAAATCGGACCGTGCAGTGCCTCGAAAACGTTCTTGAGAGCAAAGTAGGTGTACTCTCGCACAAAGCGATTGGTGTGCCTGGCTTGACGCCCTGCTACGTGCCCGGCGGACACCCCCAATGAGGCATATGCCGTTGCGGCCAGTGCGGCTATTGAAGGGGCCGAGACACTTGGAGCACTCCTCCATCAGCGAGAGCATGGAGTCATCCTTTTTGGAAGTGGTGCTCACGTGTCGAAGGCGTCAGAGATGCGAGGCGCCGGGCGCCGGGCGATGCGTGGCGTAAAGGCCATGCCGCAGCCCTGCATCATCGCCTGCATCACAGCCATCGTTATAAAGCACTACGACGAGCAGAAAAGCAATCACTAACGTTGCATAATTATGTTGCATAGATCCAATCGCTATCTCTATCTCTCTTTATGTGTGTATTATATATTTATCAACTACAAGCATACGTAGACCTAGTATCAGCAATAAAATGGCAATTTATTGGATTCCAACGGATCATCAACACTGCCTCCAAAGCCCCCATGGACGTCTCCAGGGACCGCCAACCTCTGCTCTGGGGACCAGGCATCTTCTCTGAGAGAAAGAAGGGGGTTTTAGGAGGCCTTCCGTGTCGTGCAGGAAGGTCGGTGGAGCTGGCGGCGCCTCTGCGTAGCCTCAGCCGGAGTGGGGAATACCGGGCGAGGCTGGGAGAGATGGGAGGGAAGCTGCCGCCTTGGCCCGGTTCGCTTGGCAGTTCCTGGTCAGACCAAACAAGAAAGTACAGAAACAGCCCATCCGCTGTCCCTTGGCCTCCTCCTGGGGTCGCTTGAACTTGTCTTGAATGTCGTGCAAAACGATCTTTCCCATCTTGTCGTAGACGGCAAGCCTGGGACAGGCAACAGACGAGCTCCCGGAAGGCACCAAGAACCGCCCCCCCCCCAGGTGTTGCTGAGTCACCCATCTCGCAGGCAGCACTCCCGGAGCACGGCCGCAGTGGCCTTTCAGCAGAGACCACGCTTCTTTGATCTTCAACTCTCTCGGCATTGACCCATTGCTGGGAGGCCTTCCGGACGCGGTACTCCCGGTCCGTCAAGAGGTTGGGCACCTGATTCTTTCATGATTCTGCTCCTTTCCAGAGATCCTCCGCAAGAAAGGATGCCTTCTCCAGCACAGCTTCCCGAAAAACTGGCCTCAGTCGGATAGCACGCTCAGGCACGACCAGGTGGCACGCAGGACGCAGGTGAGTGGATCGGGCAAGACCACGAAACCAGGAGCTTCGCTTGCCACCCTTGCCCCTCCCATGAGTTTCACATCATCTTTATCGAGCCCTTCTGACCGAGTGCCGATCGCTCCTCTTCAAGAGCCGGTTTCAGCCGGTTTCTGGTACTGTAACGATCTGCAACGCGTGTGAGCCCTTTGAAACCTTGAATCAGCACGACTGTAGCAGCCCCTGCCGTCCTGCCCAATACATCCTGGTGACTTCCACAACGTCCTGGATCTCTACACACAGTATGGGCTTCGGTCTTAAGGAGCCCAAAAGTGAAAGTGACCTCGGGAACTCTGAGGCCACGCGCTGGTCCCAGTGCTTGATCGCCTCAGAAGCCGCCTGCAGGCCGCCCTGCTTCGCCTCCAAAGGAGCGAGCCATGCGAGCCCGAGACGCCCGAGGAGCTAAGAAAAGCTCTTACCCCTCTTTTCTCAGTCTTCACAAAGTGACATACGGACGCTGTGGTGTTGCCTGCAGCCTTTTGCCACTCTCTTCTGGGTCAAGCTTACACTCTTGGCCCTCCACTGGTGCTTTTCAGGCCCGGAGTTCCAACTTCCCGTGGCACTGCTGCAATGCATCGCGCATCCCGGCATGGCCCAACATTCCTGTTTCCTAAAGTCAGAGCTGAGGCAATCGCCTCCCAGGCGTCCGAGTCCAAAGACTCCAGCGCCAGCTTCTCGACCTGGCTCGTGCTCTTCACATCCCCGTCCCTCAGCGAAGCCAAGGACTCTGCGGGCCTCTTCGCAATGATATCGACCAGCTCTCATGGCCTGCGAGTCTCTGCCCTCCTACGGCAACCCGGACGAACGCTATGGCTACGGGTATCACCTCTATCAGTAGCTCGAGGGATCGCTCGCGCGTCAGGCCTCAGGTTGGGGCCGGCGAGGAAGAACAAGGCAACAGATAACACAGCAATGACATGGAAAACACATACACACACACACACAAACACAGAGACAGATCTGCTACTGCAGCTCATTGAAACCACAGGTCCGGAGCGCCTTAACGTGACGCATCATTATACGATCTATGAGGCACTGAGGCAAGAAGAAAGAGCCTTTGGATCACCAGCGTTGTGCTGTAAAGTGCCGCCTAGACTCTTACATTATCACTTCAGAACTGAATGGGACTTGCGCCGTCGTGCATTTCAGACTGCCAACGTCTGTCGATGAGCGAAGGCCGGGAAAAGACCAGCCACTCTAGGTCCCATGCTTTTGAAGTCGCGCAATCCCTCGAAGACCTGTCTTTGAGCATCGGAATGCACTCCTCTGCTTGAACTCCGCAGCCTCCACCGCTGATCCTTCACCTCGAGGGTCAGACAAAATTCAAGCGACCAAGGCAAAGCATCGAACTTATCCACTTCCACAGTGCCTTCCACGAACGTCATGGCAGCCACGAGCCGCTGCGCTCGAACTTCAGCACTTCGTATTGTCTTCACTTGTGCGCCGTAGTGGTTTGAGGTTGAGGTGCTGACTAGCAGCTCTAAGGATTGAGCTTGCGCAGTGCGCTTGCAAGTTCCATGCTCCATGCCGCTTGATCCGTAAGACAAACACCGACAGCGGATATGCTGAAGCCTGCACTTGCTTCCCTGCCGCCCTGCTGCATGGCCTTTGGGCGAAAGCGGTCCCCGTGGCTCCCACTCCGGGTTGCACCACGGCCGCACGCACGGGCACGGGCGCCCAGGAAGCAAGCGGGGCCAGCGGGGCCTCTCTCGGATCTTGCAAGTCCGTGCCTTCCCCCGTGCCGAGGTGCCTTCATCGTGTGCGTTTCAGAGAGCTGTGCGATGTAGGAGCTCAGGCCCTGCGGAGAGTCGTCGTCTCTGTCTCTTCAGCACGTATAGGGCCTAGGGTTCTATAGGCTTCTGCTCTCTCCTTCAAGGACTCGTGGATGCCACTCCACTGATCCTCAGGCGTACTTCTAAGGCATACGGCGCTTCAAGGAGCGGATTCTCCCGCCTCGGCTGCCAAGGCCTCGGCCAGCAAGGCCCCTGCCAGGAGCGCCGAGTCCACGGCTACAAGCATGACAGCCTGTAGCTCTCTGCTCTCTGCTCTGCTCTGCTTCTGCGCTCCTGTGCCCCTCGGGCCGGGCTTCGCCGTCCGCCTGGGCGGCGCCTCCGAGCTGAGCACGGACCAGCCCCCGCGCGAGCGCACCCCATCACCCCCGGCGGGCCTTGGAGACGCTGGGCTCCGGCTCCATTCCGGGCAGCTTCGGCTTCGGCGGTGCTTTCTGCTCGCGCCTGCGGCCTCCGTGATACCATGTGCGGCGCTTCTTCGAGCGAAAGAAGCCGCATGCTCATAAGAGCAGCAGAGAATTTACTTGAAGAGAACAGGAGGAGGGGAAGTGAATCAGCGGTTGAAGCTGAGCTTTGCAGGCCTGCAGACCTGCGATTCTCGTGCTGCCCCTGCCAAAAACTTTCGAAGGGAAGGCCCAGACGGGAGCTCAGCCCAGCCCCGCGCGTCTCTCTGAGATATCTGATGGACTTGGAGTCTAAGCTGCTGGCCGAGCGCCGTATGCCTGGCCGCCCTTCCGAGCAGAGCACAACAAGGATGATGTACAAGTATACTGAAAACCAACAGACATTACCAAGCATCCGAGGCCTCCCAGTCGCGAAGAGAGCTCGGAAGCGGGATTCCGCACCTGTCATCACGGAACCAGGGCTGTTTTTATGCAGCCTGAAGCCCCCGGCCTTCTCGGTGACTCCTGTTCGCAAGGATGCATGAAATCTCGAAGGGCCAATTCCGAACGAAGGCCCACAGTTTGCGCGACGCCCCGTGTAGCGCCTTCCCCCATAAAGAGGGCTTCCTCAGCCATGGTCACCTCGACACTCTCGGCACAGGAAAGGGTCAGCTTAAGGGTCTTAGCTTGGTTGGGGTGTTGGGACGCTGCGAGACCCTTTTTTGCAGGCTTTTCTCCTGGAGTCTCTTGGCGTGGCCCTCGCAAGGGCGAAAAGTCTGTGCATGGGTCCGAAAGACGGCCGGCTCGCTCGGAACTTGCCGCTTAAATTTCTCGGATCTCTAGAAAGGCACCTCACTGAGTCACCTGAGACCCAGCTGCCCTGGCAGGAAGACGAGGAAGGTCCCGAAGGCCAGGAAGCCGAACAAGTAGAGCAGAGTCTTGACGCCCTCGCCATCCTCATCACCTACAGTATATATTATGTATGGCTTATGGCGCGGCTCAGATATCTGGGCAGGACATCTCTAAAGTGTGTTTTCTCCTCTCGATGCTGCCAAGTCGCCCCTGGCCTGTTCGATGGCCGCCTTCCTGTTGAGAGCTTCTTGCTGAGATTTCATGTCGCGCCACCAGTTCCTTTCCCACTCGGTCGCTCCCATCTCCTGAAAATCGAAGCCGCATTTGACGCCCCCTTTACTACACAAGTCCAAGTCCTCGGGGTTGATGTCGCTGCCATCATAAGCTCCCCCAGGTTTCACGGCGGGCTTTGAGTCACCTCCTGCAAGCATCTTGTGCGCAGAAGGCGTCCGGCAGCCGCTTGATGCTTTGAAGCAAAGGGCGCCTAAGAAGTCGAGGTCGGGCAGCAGCTTGAGCAATGCCACCGCCGCCGCCAGGAGGACAAACAGTTTCGAGGCTCGAACTCCTTAGGCTTAGGTGGCAATCACAGTCGATTGTCCTTGGACTTAAAGGCTTTTCCTTTTTTTGCGGACGAAGCTCGCATCGCTTCTTGGGTCCCAAGCGGAGGCAGTGGCTGTCTGTGTCTCTTCTTGGAGCCCATTAATTGGCGGTACAATGCAACATGCAGGCCGTGGTACGCGACACTACGGCAGAGCTATATGGACATCATCAGCTTTCCTTTTTTGAGGAGGCTGCCAGCACAGCCGGTGACGGAGACCGCGCAGCTGTGGGAGATGCGAGAGGTTCTCTGGCCTCGCACGAAGGGAAGCAAGCCAGATGGGAGAAACTCTCGAGGGCCGGGCCAAGCCCGTGAGAAACTCCTCAATGATGTCCTTTCAGAGATGCAAGCGCAGGGCGCAGGCTGCCATGCAACGTATACGCCTTATGGCAATCTTCACCTCGCCTCACCCGAAGTTCGCTCAGCCTGGGACAAGAAAAACCCTTAGCGAGTCTCCGGCTAGGACAGAGCCTAAGGTGCGGGCAAGCGGAAGCCTTGCCGACTTCTTCTCCGTCTCGGAAGCCATGGTACATGGCTGTCGTTGGGTCGCAACTTCGGTGGCACTAAGACCGAAGCTCTTGGAGTTGCCCGCGGCGCTCGAAGCCGCGTACGTGCCCTGGCGAGCATTCCAGTCCATATTTGTGGGTTTCACTTTGGCCAGCACTCACGCTCCGCACCAGCCATGAGACCGTGCCAGAAAGGCGTGTTGCCGGTGACAGCCAGGACCGCTGAGTGGGAGCGGCCGGCAGCCACCGCGACCTTGACAAAAATCTGCCACAAAGCCTCGAGCCAAATCCTCGGGTCGAGTCGTGGGCGGCCCGGTGCTGCGATGGCGGCGAGAAGTCGCTGAGTTTCAAAGGCCTATCACAACACATCACAGCTCCAAAAAGCCCGACTGCTGCAAGTCTGCAAGTCTGGACTTGCAAACAGCGGAGGGATCGAACGGGGGTTCTGCATGTGCCATATGATCTACATGCGTCTGGAATGGTTGGATTTACAGTGAGGGGCCCGTGCGCGGCGGACTTCGAAGCTAAGGAGGGATTCGGGCCTTCTGCTCGCAACGGGTTTCGGCCCTACATCCACAGATCGCTGGCTCCTTGGATTAGTGCAATCAACCGAACCTTGGCAAGTCGTGTGCCTGATATACTACATTCTGCTAGCTGTCGTCAAGCCGGTGCATGCAAGCTTATGACCGCTGCAGAGCGCATCGCGCCTGGCTTGCGACTCAAACGCAGCCTCGCTACAGTCGTGAAGATGGCAATGCCCGACAGGTGCATCCATGGCTTCACAGCTTCAGCTTGGGCAGGGACGTTAGGTCCACACTGCCTGGCAACGAAACAGCCAGGCTGGACTCTTGCGAGCGAAAGACAGCGGCGGAGTGCATCAGGCTGGTGCCAGACTGCTGCGGAAGCGTGACCGGCTCTACCCCGAGGAGGCACAGCCCCAAGCCCACACCGTCGCCTGAAAAGCTGGAGCTGGGCTGAGAGCTGAGAGCAGCGAGCAGAGCGCCGCGGCGCGATGCCGCAAGGCGGTGCCGCAAGGCTCTCAGCGGCTCTGGCATCTCTGGCCTGGCCGTCAGGTCCGTCCGTCTGGGTCAAGCAGATCACGTGGTTTGTCCCACTCTCCACTGCCACGATGACCTCACAATCACGGGGAGCAACGCATGAGTGAGACTATATTGCTATATGGTATATCGGTATATCTCTTTGTGGAGATGCGGACCTCGTCTTCTGCCAAGGGGATCTGGACGGGAACGGGTGTGAAGCTTTGGCTCGCATCGACCCCGAGCTGTCCGTACTGGTTGCCACCTGCAGGCTGCCGGGTCTGGGGGGGGGGGGGGGGGGGGGGTGTAAAATGAGGGATTTAGTCGGGATCTTCATGAGTCTTCCATGGTGGCAGCTCCCAGGTGCCCGCGCCGCAGGCGAAGAGTTCCTTTGCAGAGCTCGCCACGAAGAGGCTGAAGTTCCCTCCTCGGCTGCGCTCTGAGCGCTGTCTGTGTGCTTCCGAGCTGCAGAAGCTTGGGTCTCGGCCAGCAGTGGCCGCACTGACAGGCGTTGCCAAGGCGACCTCAAAAAACAGAAGACGTAAGGACAGCAATGGCTCCGGCTCTCCTCGAAAGCTTAGGCCCGGAACTCGCTGCGGGCTTGGCCGTTTGCAAGCGCTGCCAAGTCCAAGCCTGGAGAGCGGCTTCGGGCTCGACCGGGCTCCCGCCGCGCTCCCGGAGCCTTCCGCTCCCGCCGTGGCCCCAAGCGAAAGCGACGCCTCGAGTCGCAGAGATTTCATACGATTCACTTGCTGGAAGCTTGCACTCCTTCTGCATCCCAAGCGAGAGAGTGACACGCACCGGCCGCAACACCTGTGCTCAGGGCAAGAGAGGGAGAGGAGAGACCGCACGAGACAAGCCGCGCAGCCTACCGCCATGGCTGATGACGGAAGAGGGATCGCTGCCGTTCCACCTGGTGTGGGGTTTGGCACCACGCACACACAAATACACACGCGCGCACACGCGCACACACACACGCACACACACACACACACGCACACACACACACACACACACACAGACACACACACACACACACACACACACAGACACACTCACAGACACAGACACAGACACACAGACACAGACACAGACACACAGACACACAGACACACAGACACACAGACACACAGACACACAGACACACAGACACACACACACAGACACAGACAGACACACGCAGAAAGACACACACACACACAGACACACGCAGAAAGACACACACACACACAGACACACGCAGAAAGACACACACACACACACACAGACACACACACAGACACACACCTGGACACACACACACACAGACACACACCTACACACACACACACACACACAGACACACAGAGACACACACAGAGACACACAAAGACACACAGAGACACACAGAGAGACACACAGAGACACACACAGAGACACACAGAGAGACACAGAGACACACAGAGACACACACAGAGACACACACAGAGACACACACAGAGACACACACAGAAACACACACAGAAACACACACAGAAACACACACAGAGACACACACAGAGACACACACAGAGACACACACAGAGACACACGCAGAGACACACACAGAGACACACACAGACACAGACACACACAGACACACACACAGACACACACAGACACACAGAGACACACACAGACACACACAGACACACACAGAGACACACAAAGACACACAGAGACACACAGAGACACACAGAGACACACAGAGACACAGAGACACACAGAGACACACACAGAGACACAGAGAACACAGACACACACAGACACACACAGAGACACACAGACACACACAGACACACACAGACACACACAGACACACACAGACACACACAGACACACACAGACACACACAGACACACACAGACACACAGACGCAGACACGCAGACACGCAGACACGCAGACACGCAGACACGCAGACACGCAGACACACGCAGACACGCAGACACACGCAGACACACGCAGACACGCAGAGACACACACAGACACACACAGACACACACAGGCACACACACAGACACACACAGACACACACAGACACACACAGACACACACACACAGACACACACACAGACACACACAGACACACACAGACACACACAGACACACACAGACACACACACAGACACGCACACACAGACACAGACAGATTGGGTGATAATGACGCTGGCGTTGGGCCGGCCCAGGTCTCTGGCCAGCTCTTCGAAGCATGGCTGTATGCGGATTGCAATGCATGGAACCGCTCTGCACGTTCAGACACGACATCAAGAGTTCCGGACTGAAGGTGATGCCGGCGTTGGTCTATATATCTATATCTGTCAACATCTACCTCCCTCCACTTATCATCTAGTCTGCTACTGCTACTACTATCTGTTTATCTATCATACTGTCTATCATGTCTATCTATCATAAATACATACGGACATAGTAGGTATTATATGCAGTACGAGTACCGATCGACAGTTACAGTTGACAAAAGAGCTCCGTCCGCCTCCGGCGCCGGCGCTCTGGCCGAAGTCGTCGTCACCCAGCGCAAAGATGCAGCCGGCCTCCGTCAAGAAGAGAACATGCCTCCACCCGGCTGCCACCTCTGCAGGATTGTCAGGGCTTTGGTTTACAGCTTAGACCCGCAGAGAACAGGGTACAGAGTACCAGCGTGCAGAGTCTCTCCGTCTGTCCGGCCTGCGCCACGCGCGAGGCCGGCCCGCCCTGAGCAGCACCTGCTCGCAGACTCCACTTTGCTGCCTTGCTGCGCCTTGCTCTTCTGCGTCTCCGAGATCGGAGCCCCAGATGTGGCGGAGCTGGCCCGGGTCCTCGGAAGGAGATAGCGGATAGTGCTCCTCGTGGCTTTGGAATCCTGAACCTCGGTGTCGGGCCCCACCCGGTGGCCAGAGGCCGCCCAAGAGAAAGACTTCCCCCTGCCGCGTCCTCAGCTCGGGGGTTTTCCCTTCGGACGAGGCGAGGCTTGAGACATCCTGGCACCAGAACACCGAGGCCCCTGCACGAAGGAATTCGATCCTGGAATCAAGGAATCCCGAGCAAACATCTTATCTACTGTAGCTGACAGGCTGCGAGCCCACAAAGTGCGCATCTGTCTAATCATTTTGTGTCTCGCTGTATCTGTGTGTATATATATATATATACATTGTATATTATATCTATGTATGCATGTATGTATATGCCACAATAATATACACACAGACTTATACACAAAACGTTCCATTATGTAGTCCGTGTGTAACCTATCGCAAGAGGCCAGTGGCCTCCGCAAGCAATGGTCGGCGCAGCAGCGCCTACGCCGCCTGTGGGGAACGCAAACATAGAAACGACCCAGAGACGAGACTGCAGCGAAAGGAAAGAACGTCCAGCAGTGGAAACAAGTGTGAAACGCAGAACACGGCTAACTGTGCTACCATACTGTAATAACTTATACTGACATCGCAAGGGCACATCGGATAAGATGATATGGCTTCAGTGATTGTCCGGACTGCGGCAGTTCCTGAACAAGCCCCACCTGTGACCAGTCACTCCCCCGGCCACTAACTCGGGACAGATTCTTGCACTGTCACTCGGTGGAACGATGGACTGCTTGATTGCCAACCTTCCATGCTCTCGTCCGTCTGTTTTGACTGCACCCACCGTCTCACACTCACGGAACTCACGGAATTCGCCTTGCTTTCTGCTCGGGCTGGCGCTGGCGGCACGGTCCTGACTCCTCGGAGCTTTCGGGCCCCGCGGAGAAGTAGAACGTCCAGAGCGGCCTCCTGAATTACCGTGCAGATCTTTAGAAAGAGGAGGATTGCGTAAGATGTCCTCCGCGATCGAGCAGGAGGGGCGTGGGCACCACCTCGAGCTGACAGTGCGGCGCAGCTCTGCTCCCGCTCACGGCTCTCTCACGGCTCTGGCCTCCGGCTTTGTGCGGGGGGAGCCGTCTGCCCTCCCCTGCCAGCGCCCGCCGCGCCATCCGCGTGGCACCGCATGAGCACCTCCGCTCGCGACGACAAGCATCGGCCATCGGCGGCAGCATGTTGCATGTCGAAAAAAACTCGCCGAGTCGCCGAGGAGACCCCAGCGGAAGACTTGGCCACCTGCCACCGCCAACCTGCTCAGACGTAAGAAGCGGAAACACCCGGCCGCGGCCGGTCTCAAGTCTCTCTCTCTCTCTCTCTTTCTGTGGTCCGGGCGAGTGGTCTGTGCCAAGAGCCACAGCCTCCCATTTACAAAGGTTTCGCAACCGACGATTCCGCTGCTCCCAGTTTCTGCGCCTCGACAACTCCTGCTGCCGTGGGGAAGGCCACGGGCGTTGCCTTGGCAATGTGCGCTTGCGCTTTTGCTGCTTGCCATCGCTTGTCTGCTGGTCCTCCGGGTGTTTGTAGGCGTCGGGTGGCTGCGCCTGAAAACGCACCCACATACGGCATCACGGTACATCACGGCTTCCTCCTATATACCTGAGGCGGCTAGAGCGACCAAGGTGCATGGCCAAGCTCGCCGTGGGGCCCACAGCCGAAGGTGAAAAGCGTAGGCATCGGCCATTGGAGCGAAACCCACTTTGAAAAGGAACGCTTGCTGTGATCTTTTCGGGCACACCTGAGGCAGAGTTCTGGCAAACATGCCCGCCGCAGTTCCGAGAGTCCTTCCGTATACAGTATACAATTCTCCGATGCTGCTGTTGCCATGTCATGGTACAAACGTCAGGCCCTTAGGCTAACCCAAACTGTGGATTCAGATTGCTGCATGTGGATGTCTTGAGGCTTCTTCGTATCGTTGGACTGCGCAGGCACAATCAGTACTTCAATCCAATCGTCTGCATTCATTAGGCCACATTATGCCGGACGTTTCGCACATTGGACATTGGATTGGTTGCTGTGAACTGCATAAGTACAGACGGAGCTTGGATGATAAATTTGTGCTCCATATGAGCCGCAGTCTAAACCCTGCATATCCCCCATCAATGAGCCCCGTGGCCGCAGTGAGGGAAGACTTGCGACCATCAGGAGGATCCCCCAATAAGTGGAGATTAAGTGGGTCTCAAGTCTTTCTGCCATGCAAGATGCCGATACCTCAATTATGCAGTGCTCCCACCACGAGGGCAAACCTGGTTTTACTGCAGGCGAAACAACAGTTGCTGCACCAAGCTGGTAAGCTTGGGATCAGCTAGGACACACGGCATCATGTTCGTCGGGGTCTGCATGGCCACTACCTGCAAGTCTTGCGATTTATCCAGTGTCAGCACGTCCAGGTAGCATCGCAGCATGCGCAACGCACCCAAACATACCCAGAGCATCCGATATTGATTTTTTTCAATCGAACGCTTGATTTTTTCAAAAATTCAAAACCCTATTGATTTTGGTGTTTTTCAATCGAATCGCATGCTGTTGTTGGGTCGGGTTCGATTGATTTCTGACATTGCATTCTATTGATTTTATGCATGCCTAGTTTCAGGATTCTCGATTGATTTCACGACTGTCTCCTCGATTGATTTTAGAATGGATTTTCTATTGATTTTATTTGTGATTCTCTATTGATTTTATTTGTGATTTTCTATTGATTTTATTTGCGATTTTCTATTGATTTTATGGTCGATTTTCTCTTGAAATTATTGCTATTGAAATTACTGGATTGCATGATCTAGCTAAAGTTTAAAGCATATGTGCACATGCAGAGAAACACATGCAACACGTTTGTTCTAGTGCCCCGATTCATCACGGCTAGGTCGATGTTCGCTGTCTATGTGGGTTGGACAGCCCAGGATCTATGCTGGATTTTGTAGAACATGCAGGAAGGAAGCTTATTTGATTGTATGGTGTTTAAAGCATGTGCACATGCAGAGAAACACATGCAACACGTTTGTTATAGTGCCCCGATTCATCACGGCTAGGTCGATGTTCGCTGTCTATGTGGGTTGGACAGCCCAGGATCTATGCTGGATTTTGTAGAACATGCAGGAAGGAAGCTTATTTGATTGTATGGTTTTCTGTGCAGGTGTAGCTGTTCAAGCGAGAGGCAAACCTGTAGGAACCATGTCCCCCAAACGGGAGAATGGTCCGGGCCGAGGAGGTCCAAGGAACTTCCCAAAGGCGGATGTGTGTTCGCAGACATTGGGAGAAGCCTTGAAGGAGTATGTGAGGAAAGCAGGGATGGCAAGAAGCTTCGAGTTGTCGCCCTACGGGCACCTGCAACGAAGCGCTGCAGCGAGTGGTCGGGGGCTGGTCAAAGCCCTGGACTTGATCACCGCCTGCCACGAGGTTGAAGAGTCCCTTCAGTTCAAGTTCAATGATATAAAGGAAGCCCTGCAGCTTGTTGTGTGTTATTTTGGAGATGATTTAGGAAAAGGAGAGTGGGCCAGGAAGACGAGCGAGACGCTGATGACAGTCTTCACCCATGCCCGCAGGATGAAAGACGAAGTGCGGTACCGTGAGGCTTCTTCCAAACTCACGAATCACGAGAAGGCCCTGCTCGCAAAGGTAAGGAACATGGTTGTAGGAAACGATGAAGGAAGTGTGACTTCCAAGGAGAAGGCAAAGGAGCAGGAGGAAAGGGAGGAGGAAGTGGAAGATGTCAAGAAAAAGAGAAAGAAAGTGCAGGAAGAGGATCCTTTGGACATCCTGCAGACACCCAAGCGACGTGTGGATTTGGACAAAATCAAGTCCTTGGAGATCCCGCAGACCCCGCAGACCCCGTCGACCGTGAAGGGCTCTTTCAGCCAGGCTGCCAACGACTGCTCGCCAGTTCCTGCAAAGAAAGCAGACTTGAAGGAGCTTGTGATGAAGAAGCCGAGCTCTAAGGACTGAAATAACCAGTTTGTTTGGTTTACAATGCTTGAAAACCCTGAATCCTAAACTTTCCAGGATCTGAAGACAAAAGGAAAGGCAGCCGCAAAGGAGGCCGAGCCCACGAAGAAGCAGGATTGACATAACAGTTTGTTTGGTTTACAACTAATGCTTGAAAACCCTGAATCCTAAACTTTCCAGGACCCGAAGAAAAAAGGAAAGGCAGCCGCAAAGGAAGTCGAGCCCACGAAGAAGAAGGAGGATGGAGATAGTTTAAGAAACATAAAACACTGTATCCTAAACTCGTAGAAGCTAGGATGGAGACAGTTTAAGAAACATAAAACACTGAATCCTAAACTCGTAGAAGCTAGATCTGGCAAGGCCAAGGATGGAAAGAAGAAGAGACGCCGGTATCCGCCCATGCAAAGCTTGACCAAGGACATCCCTGTCCGCGATAGGCATGTATAGCTGTTATGGTTAAACCAACATGTATCAGTACATGGCAGGAGCAGGTGAAGAAGTTGATCATCATGGATTACAAGGGCCGTGCTGCAAGTGCTTTGAGGATTGGACCTGATGGAAGACAGCGGCTGGGACTTGAGTGCATCTTTTTCATGTTCAGTTTGCCAGTCTGCCCTGTAGGATTTCTAGCTTGGAAAAGGGGCTTAGCACCACGATTGCTTCAAAACTACCGAGGGTCATTCAAGTCCAGACCAAGAAGCTCGAGGATGCCAGAACAATCATCGAGAAGTTGCTCAAGGAGCTCAGGAATGGCACAACCTTGGATGAGGTTAGGACCATGAAGAGACGCTTGCTGAGCAAGCTGTGATCGGACGGATGGCGGCATCCGTATTCATCGCCCTGCCGTGTGAAACAAACATTCGGATTCCGTGAGTTTCCATTAATTCATAATATATATCTAGCCCGAAATGTTTAAAGTAAATTGCTACCCCCGCCCACCCCCCCCCCCCATGTACCGCAAAAAATCGTTACACCTTCAACCCTCAAACCCGAAACCATCATGGGTTGCACAGCCCAGGTCTGCATATGTGGGTTGGAAAGCCCAGCTTTTGCACGCTTATATAAGCCAAAGCATATTGGGTTGGACAGCCCGGGTCTGCACACATGTGGGTTGGAAAGCCCAGCTTTTTCACGCTTAAGGGGTTGGAAAGCCCATGGATGTGAATGATGCATCGAGCCGGCTGCTTAAGCGGCTCGAGCTGCAAGCATGTCTGGTAAAGGTCCCGGACGCCACGGGAAGGATAGCGGAGGTGTCCCGCAAAACATATGGCGGGAAAATGCCCGCCACCTGTGGTTTAGCTACGAGGAAGAGCCTCGAACGCCATGGGCCCAATGGTTGGAGGGCCTCTGCGATCCTGGACAGCATTTATTTGAAGGGTTGGACAGCCCAGATCTTGGAAGGTGTTTGAAGCATGTGGGTTGGAAAGCCCTTGGACTGCCACGCCATCACTAAACTGAGGTGTACCTCCGGGAGAGGACTGGGATCCCGAAAGGGAACTGCCAGTCCGCCAGGAACTACCTGGAGCTTGGATCAAGTTTAAAAGATGTTGATTTTTTCTTGCAGGATTTTGACAGTATGTGTAATAGAAAGAACTTTACCATGTAAGATGTATCGTCACCTGAGGACTTGGTCTATGCCAGGACCCAATCGGGCACGGACCTGGAGTACTGGAACTGGCTGGAATGGGCCATCGAAGAGTGGTACCAAACCCACCAGGCCCGCAGTGCTCCACCACCATGGTGGAACCAAGAGTTGCCACCGCCACCGTCCGACAGGACCCGATGCATATAATGGGTTGGGAAGCCCAGTACAAGAACTTTTGGGGTA